CCTGAAGCTCCTATGTACTATCACGGGTGCCTCCTGACTCGGGCGAGCAGTCCAGGAGGCTGCTCTTGCCAATAATGCTGAAGGGAGGCAGGGGCTGCAGCTGCAGCTCCTGCTCGTGCTCTTGCCAATAATGCCGAAGGGAGGCAGGGGATGCAGCTGCAGCTCCTGCTCGTGCTCTTGCCAATAATGCCGAAGGGAGGCAGGGGCTGCAGCTGCAGCTCCTGCTAGTGCTCTTGCCAATAATGCCGCAGGGAGGCAGGGGCTGCAGCTGCAGCTCCTGCTCGAGCTGGCGTGGGAACAGGCCAGAAATAGTGTTACATCTTCGACGCCACACGGGTCCTACCGGACCCGACTTAGGGCTAGAGGGACACATCAGGGCCTAAAGGCCCGACCTTGGGGTACTACAGGCCATAAAGGCCTCACCTTGGACCAGACCCGACGGGCAGGCCCAAACGACATTACCGTTTGGGCCTGGCGGCGCTCTTGAGGCTGCCGCCCGCCGGTTGGGGCTGAACCGTCCATCTGGACGGTTCAGGGCACAGCCAGGCCTTGCAGCAGTGAGGCCGGCCTCTGCCCACCGGTATAAAGAACCGGTCGGGCCTCACTCAGGGGATCGACCGACCAGTACACCACGGTGCGGTAAGGTCGGCACCAGAGTGCCGTTGGAGCGCTATGTTTAGCGCAGGAGTGAGGAGCAGGCAGCGCAGCGATTAGCGCAGCAGCAGCAAGCGTAGCAGCAGCGAGCGGAGCAGCAGCAGCGGTGACTGGGTTACCGGCGGCCATAACCGCCTGAGGTACCGGGAGTTGGAGGTTTCTCTCCTCCCTCCCATCGCCAGTCCCCTCTCTCTCCCTCTCCTCCTCGGCTCCCTTCTTCTTCTTCTTCTTCTTCTTCTTCTTCTTCTTCTTCTTCTTCTTCTTCTTCTTCTTCTTCGGATTGGATACTTATACTTTGGACAGAGATCAGAGTTGAACTTCGGTGATATGAGACTGTGGTACTTACCTGATTGGAGACTTGGAGATTGTTGGGGTTGATACTCGGCTGCATCGGACACCGGTTACATTTGGACTCTGTACCTCCGACATTGGTGACCTATTGTCCTCGACATTTTGATCTTGTTGGATGACATTYTGGACTACCATRTCGGTGACCTATCAGATTCTATCTCGGTGACTTTCAGTGCTGTCTACCTACCCCACCTCCTTCGTCTCTCCTCCCCCATTCATCTGTGTATGTTGTGTACGGGGCTGAGCACATTCTTTGTATGGCTCAGACCCCACCATCTCACGATTGTATGTGTGTGGAGTGATGCTATGGGAGTCAGTCTATGTGAGTCAGTTCGTTTATCAGACTTCCGTTGCATCTATACTCATCCTACATTGGTTGATTCTTGGTTCTGCCCATACTCATTGGAGTATGTAACAAATAGCCTGTTCCGAAACCCAGTTTTCGTGCCTGAATCTTAGGGCAGGTCGAAACAAATGAGGGCSTAAAAATAGCCCAGGGCCTAAGAATAGCCCTCCGTTTCAGGCTGGAAAAACTCTGGGTCTGAAAGACCCAGAAATAGGCTGAAACGGAGTAGGGCCTGCAGGCCCTCGTTTTTCAGTTTTCAGGCTGAAACGACCGGGGCCTGTAGATCCTAAGTTTTAGGCTTTTAGGCTGAATGTCCGGGACGGGTCCTACAGGGCCCGTGTGGCTACGCAGTATGCCACATAGGCCTGGAAAGGTCCAGTAGTCTTAGAAAGGTACGGTAGCTTCCAAGTAGGTCAGGATGGCGCAACGTGCGAATGCAGTTAGATATTAGGTTAGGTTTAGGCCCTGGAGGTGAATTGCAGGCTGCAATGATGTTCCTGCCAAAAGACCGGCAGGAACTTGTGGTAGGACCTACCTTCTTTCCCCCGAAACAATGTGCATTCATTATAGCTGTATTTGGGGTATCTTTATAGCTGTATTTAGACTGAAAGATACCCCAAATACAGCTATAATGACCGTTCGTTGTAGTCGGGGGAAGAAGGTAGTGCACGGGTAGAGGTTGAGAGTGCTGCGGTAGAGGTACAGGAGGCCAAGAGTCATGAGTACATCATCTCTTTCTAGCGAGTAGTTTGGGCATTCACCCAGCAGTCGTGATGCCGCTCTGCCTTGAGGGAGAGTTAGGTGGAGCTCTAGGTTGGAGGAGGACCTGAGGGTGGGGAAGAGACCCCCATGGAGGAGTATTAGATGGGAGTAGGCATAGGCTACGGAGGTCGAGGGAGAAGAACCTCAACCTAGGCTATGGAGGCAAGTGCAGGCAGAGAGTAGAGGTAGAAGACGATGAAGGAGGAGGGAAACAACGAGAAAGACTTACCTTTGCCTATGGTAGACCATCTCGACTTCCTTGGTCGGCACTGCATCTGGAAGGACCCTGTTAGGGTACCGGAGGTAGAAGAGGACGGAGAAGGAGGGAAACAACGAGAAAGACTTACCTTTGCCTATGGTAGACCTGTCTCTTATACACATCTAGATGTGTATAAGAGACAGGATCAAAGGTTTTGGGCTTTTCTCATAGTTTTATCTGAGTGGTCTATTTCACGAGTAGGTTGTGGTATACGTTCTGCAATCTTACCTTTGCCTATGGTAGACCATCTCGACTTCCTTGGTTGGCACTGCATCTGGAAGGACCCTGTTAGGGTTGTCTCTTATACACATCTAGATGTGTATAAGAGACAGCTGTTAGGGTACCGGAGGTAGAAGAGGACGGAGAAGGAGGGAAACAACGAGAAAGACTTACCTTTGCCTATGGTAGACCATCTCGACTTCCTTGGTTGGCACTGCATCTGGAAGGACCCTGTTAGGGTACCGGTTGGACATGCTCTTCATCCGGGAGTGTGGCCATGGCTGCATGAGATGGGAGAGGCACGATAGTGGTGTGGTATCTGTTGCACATCTGTGCTTCATGTGAATGAGCTGCCACAGCCAGATACACAACCATGAGGAGAGGCGCAGGAGGAGAAGATGAGGCAGATTATGCTGGCGAGACGAGGAGACAGACTGGGCTATGGGACAGACTTGGGTGGGCCATATGCAGGGGCATGACCGACAGTTGGGAAGCCAAAATGGTGCTGTGAGTTATACACAAAATGGGACCTGTGTCAGAGAGGTGTGGGGCACATAAGTGATATCTAGTTGGCAGCCGGCTTACTATGGAAACTTTTAGGGGTGCACTCAGATTTCCCCCTAGTTCTTAGATGCGTTGTCCTCTGGATGGTCAGCCACTTTCATCCGTTCTTGTATTCTACATCTGGTATTCTACATCAATGTAGAATGTAAAGAATTAGGATCCAAATAATGCTTTTGGACTTTCGTTCCTTGGGGTACCAGGCAACTTGCAGCGAGGCAGAGATGAGCAACGGGTGCCCAGACCCACACCCACCCACACCCATCCCACTTGAGGCATTGGGTCAGGTGTGGGTCTTGATAAGCTAGCATGGGTGGGATGAAGGGTTTAGGCGAGCTAGCCTGGGTGGGTGACGGGCGGGTCTAGGCGAGCCAGCCTGGGTGGGTGAGGGACGGGTCAATGTTAGGCCTGGGTGGGGTGGGTGACAGGCGGGTGAGCGCTACATTCTTCCCCCGAACATAATGCATATGCGTTGTATTCGAGTTTTCGAAAAAAAATGATTTTCTGAAAGTTGGTACCTTTTTTCAAATAGAAGGGCACTTCGAATACAACACGTATGCTTTGTATTCGAAGAAAAAAGCATGTGTTTGAAAACATTCGAATAGAATCCTTTTTTTTAATTTTTTTTTTCCCTTTCTTTTTGTGGGCAGGGTATGCACCCTCTCTCTCTCTCTCTCTCTCTCTCTCTCTCTCTCTCTCTCTCTCTCTCTCTCTCTCTCTCTCTCTCTCTCTGTGCGTCACCTGGGACCTCGCTGCACTACTCTCGACATGTGCAAAACGAGAGTGAATCTTCCCCTAGAACATGGAAAGATACACCGCCATGATTTTTGTCTTTTTTGCATGTCGATAGTAGTGGAGCGAGGCCCCTGCACTCTTCTTGGTTCTCTTGCTGTCTGACGAACGGCGGCCAAGAAAATGGCAGCGGGGACAGTGGGAAGCCAGGGGGCAGTGGGAAGCCATGAGGGAGGCGCCTGACTACGCCGAGGTGCTGTATTTTTCCATGTCCTAGTGGAAGATTCATTCTCATTTTGCACATTTGGTGAGGAGCGGAGAGAGGGCTCAAATGTCGAAAGGGGGATGAATCTTCGGCCAGAGCATGGAATGATACAACACCACATTTTTTTCCTGTGTAATGGCCTCGGCCATGGGCCAGAACTGAGCCTACTCAGCCTGGAACGGGCCCCCTGCTGTCCAAAACGTTGCTGCCCTGCCCTTGAATACAACGCATATGTTCACCTTTATTTATTTCCTCTCTTTTTTTGTTATTGTTTTTCAAACTGTCTTCGCGCATTTCATTTTGTGTGTCTGGTTTTGTTCGTTTTTGTTTGGTTTTCTGCAATCCACAACGCTCGTGTTTGCAGGCACTTGAAAAATTGACAGCGAAGCCTGCCAGCGATTTGCTTGATTGGTCCAAGTGGCACGTATTCTGGGCTGATGAGCGCCATGTTCCACTGTCGCATCCGGATAGCAATTACAAGCTGGCAAAGGTTGGTGGGTGATGCCGATTGTTCGCAATTTCTATGGTTCTGTCTTACTGAAAAATTATGCTTCTATCGTACAATGTTACGATTTCATTTTATTGAGAGATCGAAGCACAGAGGACAGATCATGCCATTCCTATGCATGATCTTCAGCTTTCCGTGCCTCTCCCATTTGAGGATACTAGCTGTCTGATCTACACCCAATGACTGTAAAGGGGTTTGGAGAACTTTGGACTGAACCTGCTTGACAGGTGAGTCCATGAGTCCATGAGCTCCTACCCGAGTGAAAGAGAGGGGGGTGGGAGTTGGGGGTTGGGGGTGGGAGGTTGCCACGTGGCACAAACAGGCCTATAATGATATTCTTTAGTTTCTTTTGGGTTGACGGTAATTTTAACTCGTTCAAGACAGTGGGACTCACTGGATTTGAATTTCCTGTTGATGGAGAGTTGTAAAAAAAAAAAAAAAAAACGACTTACTGGATTTGCATTTCCTGTTGACGGAGAAAAAAAAAAAAAAAAAAAAAAAAGTGTTGTTGGGCCTAGGTTATCCTTATCATCATCATGGCTGTCATCAGTAACTTAAGAAGATATGCCAAAAATATGTCATGATAGTCGTCCTGATCGTTGTCGAAATAAAATTTATAATATTTCCCTAATCCCCATTGTTTCCACTTCACGCCGTTCACGACAGGCTGAAGTTGGATGGACAGTTGTTTCTTATCAACATTGTCATCATCTACCGTTTTGTACCTTGACCTTAATCTTCAGTGTCGTTATCTTTAACGAAATTTCGTAGCTTTCAATTCTCCTTTTCTGTCCGCTTGTCCGGGTTGTTCCCCCTTCTTCTATAGGTTGGTTAATGCTGGCATGTCCTCATCATATCGGTATTGGTACTATTGAATAATTGAATTGATAAAGCTTTAAAAAACAGGTCTTCTCTCTCTCTCTCTCTCTCTCTCTCTCTCTCTCTCTCTCTCTCTCTCTCTCTCTCTCTCTCTCTCTCTCT